TATTCCTTTGTTATAGCAACTGTTTGTTTTGGGTGTCCTCAAGTTTCGCTTAGAAGTACTTGAAGAATACAATAGAATTGTAGGCATTTACGAGGTCATTCATGCCGCGGCAACAGCAAGCAGGTGTCAGGTCAGTGGATTTCACCGACTATAAATAGTTAAGTTCTATAAGCGAGAAAATAGTTACATCGGCAAATGTACGCCCTGAGATACACGCTATTAGCTGTGACGCTAGTGTTCGCGAGTGTCCTACTTGGCGGACCGATGGGCAATCAAGTAGACGCAGCTGAGGAACATCAAATATCACCGTCGTTTTCACCAAAGAACTCGGTCGCCTCAGATCCAATCCTTGATATAGATGCAAAAAGAAGACACCGAAGAAGAGGAAGAAGAATAAGAAGAGGAAGAGGGGGACCACTTCGTCGACGAAGGGGAGGAAGACGGAGAGGAACTGGAGGTAGTCGAAGCGGGGATGAAGGGAGCCCTTAGACGTCGGTGAGTTTGGCAGGGCTAATGACATTGTGAGAACATATGCGGAGTGTTCACTCTGCTCTCTTTCCTTCCTTTGTCATACGCGTTTGTTATGATAATAAAAGTGGCATTATGTCTGCACCACACTGCCCTGTCTTTCCTTTTCTCGATCAAATTTTGTAAACGAAAGCCATAGGCGCAGGGAAAACTTCGTTTCCAGGCCGCATGCAAGCACAGGTGTTTATTGTGCTTCATTAAATCGGACACGCATGTTAATGGCTCTGACGTCAGTGTTCGTGAGTGTGCTGCTTAGCGGACCGATGGAAACCACCGTATCTCTCCGTGTAACTGGTCGGCTCAGATTCAATGCCCGGTCTACATGCTGAACGTTGTATCAATGATTACGATAAAAGTCCGGCAGGTAGGGCAAACAGTAGAGGTCTGTGACTCTGGCAGGCCAATGACATATTGAGAATATTTGTGGATATTAAATAACGGACTGTTGACCTTTGTCTCTTTCCTTCCTTTGTCATAGGCGTTTGTTGTGATAATTAAAGTGGCATTTCGTCCGTACCAAACTGGCCTATCTTTGTTAC